TTTCCATTTGTCGAACTGGCCGGCGGACCATTGTCCAACCAGTCGGTTTGATATTGAAATACGCTTTTGCCAAGAGTTTTTGCTGAACAACCATTTCCTTGGTGCATACTACTTAGGATTTGACTGATCTGGCTGGAGATTTGATTAAAATGGAAATTCTCATTGCGTTGGGAATGGTTTGGCGGTCAGTTCTGACAAATGGAAAGCGCCAAGTCTTCATTTCAGTGGACAGCAAAACCAGCAGTGGAGTTAAACTAGTAAAACCACTTTTATTTATCCTGTATTACCCTGCAGTTCTATGCAAACATCATATTGACCAGGGGGAAGGAGGGTACTCCTTAAATATGTTCTCTTGAAATCCAAACAATGTTCCCACAACTTGCAAAGCAACCAGCAGATTTGTTTACTGATCATTCCTTGAATATCCACACTCATAGCTCAGCATACATTGTTGTCAGTTAAGATGTTACATGGTTGCGGTGACTGTCACATTTTTTTTAGTTTCTCTTGCATCTTCAATACCAAGAAACAATTACAACATGTGAGAAAAACAAAGAAGCATGATATTTTTGTCAATTATTGACTATATTTTTTCTGTTGGTTCGCCTCCCACTGCTAAAATATTTACTTTAGGAAACACATGTACATGTATATCCAGTATATCACATTGAATGTTTGGCTTTCAAGCTAGATCAAACTCTTTCGAATGAAAGAGTTTGATGCAGCTCAGCCATTCAACAAAACCCACTCACAAAAAAAAATTGAATAGATCATTTGATTTTTGAATTCAGTCAAACATTGAGTTGGGTTATCAAACAAAGTGGAAGTCACATAAGGAACACTCGAATGGAACAAAAACAAGCGTTTCAGTTCCAAGCAATGATGACAAGTGTGTTAATTATTGATCTAGTGTGAAAGCAGTCAAGGCGATGTAAGATCCTGCTTCTTTTATTATTTCCATTTCAGGGTTAAATTCTAAAATAAACATTTTCTGTGAAAATGTCAATACATTTATTTTGTTTACCAAGGAAAAAGTCTTTAAATCTGCAAGTTGAAATCATCTTGGTAATCATCTCAGTTATTACTCTTCACTACATAATTGGCCTCAATAATATTGTAGCATATTCTGAATCCAGCACTTGTCAGATTTCCCTGGCTTGTTGAGTTGACTCAGTTTTCACATTGTATTTTTTTCCAATATAATTTGGTTTGTTTCGATTTTGTTCAGCCATCAAACTCTCCAGAAAGCTGGTTTGATATTGTTTGATGGCCAAACTGTTTTGTTCGGGGGAGTTTGATGGGAACTTTGTTTTGCGTAATACATTGTACACCGGAAGTATACATTTACTGCAGTAAATTATCTGCTGCCCACCAGGGTTATCGCTTTACAAGTTGTGAGAACATCATTTCTTGCACCCAGACCTTGTTACTTTCCCCTGCTTCCCTGGTATTGACCCTATGCGTGTAGATGATAATGTACAACCTGAGGGAGGTTGTGCCCTTGAAAAGTAGGCTTTTTGTTACTGGTACTGGTAATCATAGACAGCCTCTGTTTACATTTACATGTACATGTAACCCCTGGTCCATAGTCTTAACGTTGCAGGTTGCGGGCAACATAATGTACTAACTATTACTATGAAACACAACTGTATGCTTGTAAAATTATTGTAATGTGATGAATCAGGGTTGTCAGAAAGTTTTGAAGTAGACAGCTGAGTTGTCAAAAATAATAAGCGGCCAGTAAATTATATGTATATTACTCATTTAGTATTTTTTATTCGTATGAGAATATCTACATTAGTAAAGTTGTCTTACTGCTAAAAGGTTTTCCCTCCCCCCCCCTCCCCCCGATAGCCTGGGGAATAGCTTCTGTGTTTTACTTATTAGCACTTTGTTTTGTTTTTCATACTACAGGCCAGGCAGATCACCTTGGTATGTGATGTTGGTGCAGAACGTTCTCTCAAAGCAGGCTGGTTCATGGAACTTAATTTCAGTCTCAAGTTACTGTGCTTTATGCTTAGTCAAGTTCTGCAAATGTTAATCTTCAAATACTACTTCTATGCTAAAGACAAAAAATGTCCAACTGCTACCTCGAGTGGGCAAGGTGAAGCAAACCTTGCATTCTAATTGGCTACCCAAGGGGGAAGGTGAGCCCATTTGGCCCACTTGGGATTTCCTGCGTTGGTCCCGCAAGTGAAAGTTCTCTTCTTGGCCATGTAATAATTCATTTATTGACCAAGCTTGTTCATTCAAGATGGCTGAATATTGACCTCATTCATTTTTGTATTTTTATTGACCAAGACCAGGCAGTGCTCTGTGGCCCGTTGCGCCTACATCTGTAACTTTTGTTCTCAGGCGAAAATCTTTGCTTTTTCATAGAAATCATTTGCTGGGCACACTGGATTTCACAAGTTCAGAGTGCTGGGCTGCCTTCAATTTTTCTTAGAGCACAGCCTTGCAAGGGAAGGCAGGGTCAATAAAGACGCAAATATCCAGCCATCTTAACCTCACACCCGGTCAATAAAGCATAATTATTTATTACAATTTTATGGTTGAATCCGTGAGCGGGCAAGGTGAAGCAAATCCTGTGTTCTAATTGGCTACTCAAGTGGGCAAACCAATCAAGCTTGTTCGGTAAAGATAGCTGGGTATTGGCCTCGCAAAAAAGAGCCTGGCCAATATCCAGGCATCTTGACTGAATGTTGGTCAGTAACGCATAATCATTTATAACAATAATAATTATTAGAACTTTGTGAACATCTTTTCCAGAAAGGCATTTTATATTGCTTTAAAAGGGCTAGGTTATGCTATGCTATATTTTGTTCTTTGAGAGGCTTAAATGTGTCTTGGCTTAAATTAAGTTCCAAAAATAATGGTCCAGTTCTGTTATTTAAAACTTAATTGAGGCATTGGCACTGTTTCCCATCACCTCTTGCTATGTATGACAAAGATGATCATGGATTGAAACTTGGCCAACTTTTTCAAGGTTAAAATAAGCAGAATGGTCGTATGAGTAAGTGGTATATGGTCATACAGGTTAGTATAGCACTTAGTGGGACTGCTGACAGGAATTGATGTTTTGACAATGCCCATGAAAATGGTGATCACCTTGTTGTCTAAACGTTAGTCGCTGTCAACAACAGTCCTGCTCAGGACTACAATGTACATTCACCCGACAAATCATATTCCACTTTGTTGAAATAATTATTATAGACAGCCAAACATATCACTAGCCATAAACTGCACATGAAAGTGTTTATCACTATCTGCTATAAAGGGTATTAATTTGTTAACAGATTTGACATTTTCTTTGCCAAAAAAACAGTACGTAGTCCTACAGAAAATTTCTAGTGGATTTCCTAAAGGAAGCCTCTTACTATTCCTGTTCATTGCTAGTGTGAATAGGCACTCACATTTAAAATGTAATTTAACTTAACCAATGTAATGAATAAATACCATAAGAAGACCTGATTGTCAGTTTAGGAAGCAAGAAGAATAAAGAAAGTACTTGGAAAGATTGCTGTGGTATTATTTTGTGCAATAAAAATGTCGAGAGAATGGGTTTTTGTAACTATAGATGGCGGGAAAACTCCCCCAAGATGGTGAAAAGCGCTTTTTTCACGATGGAAATAACTTGAAAACACCAGTTTCCGACTCGCAAACTCGTGTTTCCGCAATAGTTACATCCGATTACGTTGACGGAAACATGAAATTGACTTGTTTCCGGAACGTTTTCGCGTGTTTCCGCAAGGATGCCACGCATTTACTCTCGCGGAAACACGTGTTTGCTTAGACGGAAATTTGACGGAAACGTAGAAAAAAGTGGTACGATTCCGCCGGAACCGCAGCGACGGAAACACGGGTAAACGTAATGTATCCGCTAACGGAAACATGTGATTACCGTCATGTTTCCGCAACGATTTTACGTGTTTACGTTAAGTTTCCATTTACGGATTCTTGAAATTTCGTCCTGTGATTGTCCTGCGCCCGGCTCGACAAAACCGCCATGCTACGCAGGCTACCTTTGACTATAATTACACATCAGGAGGGTCAAATGGAGTGAACACGGGACCTACGAAATATTGGCTACCCTTCCTTAACAACACCAACCTCACTTTATTTCCAGAAAATCCTTTTTAACGAGAAAGAGCACTGGGTTCAACTTCATCTCACTTTCCAATATTAGAGCCAGTGTTGAAACCCGCCCTCTCAAGCTACACAATTTACTCCAAGTCTCTCCCCCCTTCCATCTCTGGCTGTTTATAGCTTATTATGGGCCTCCCCCAGCTTCCCCCCAGAGCTTCGCGAGGTTCTGCGATACACGTCTTTCTAGTAAAAGTTGCAAATTTTTAGATATGATTGACGTGAAACTCCTCATTTAGAGCCACAGAGAAGAACACTGTCCATTACTCTCCTTTTTTCAAGATCGCATAACTTGAAGTCATTTTACTGAAAAATTATAGCCCACACAAATCTGAAACGGGTTTTAGGGTTTAGTAAGATTCATATTTTTGCTATATGATGCTAACAATTTTTGTCGGTTGTTCAAGTTTGGAATATTTCGCACGTTATAGGAAAAACCTCTCAGAATAACGGGCACACAGGGCGAAACAAGCACGGTGACCCCATCTTTTTATTTCAGTTTTTGGATGTCCTATATATTGCTGACAATTGTGCCTGGACTGACAAAAAATTGGATAGTACATCCTTTTCAAGGGAATTGCCTTAACCCAAAGAAAAGGTACATAAGTGATTTAAGGAAAGGTTGCGTGGACTTTGAATCCGTCAAGAGAAGTTGATGTCAGATTCAGAGACAACCAGAGGGACAAAGGATTTGTCCTTTAGAGTTCGCTGTCGTAAAGGAGGTAAACAAACACTGAACAAAACCTTTGTACGTTTTACTCTTGAGGACAAATTCGGTACTAAGAATGAACATACATGTACATGTAGAAGTATTTATTTGTTTCACAAAGTACTTACTAATATAGGTACATTAAAACCGCCACATACGCATCGTAAGATTGAAAAGTGGAACCTTTTTTCCGTTTAATTCCCATCTTTTGCTGTGCAAAATTCTACGGAATAGGACTTTCTAATTCTCTCAGTTTAGTCATGCAGAAATCTGTGACCCCACGTGCAAACTCTCGATATACATGTATCAAGAATAAAGAAGTGAACCCGAAGAAGTAAAACAAAAAAACATCGATCACATTGTTTCTTTTTGTTAAGTTTTATTTTGCGCACAGGATCATAAGAGCAAGTAAAAGACACAATAGTAAAGAAGTTGACCTGAGTCAGTTCTTGTTGCAACAAGAGGTTACAAAAATGCATTCTTTTAGGTACCACCTATTCGCTCTCATCTCATAGTAAGTCAAACGAAACAAGGCTCACAGAAGTTCAAAGGACTTGAAAGTTAACAAGAGTTTTAATCCCCGCCATTAGCCTCCCAGTCTCTCCAAGATTCAAATAGCTTAAATAATTTGAATCGGCAAAAATCCAATATTACGACACTCTTGCATGACTTCAATGAGTCTCAAACTCCCTTGAAGTGTTGAATTTGGTTAACTCCTGTTGTTGCTTGGTAACTCAAGCCTAAGGCTGTCAATGAAAAATACAAAAAAACTGTCCAAGTTATTGTTTTTTTTTTTATTTAGCTGATCCTGAGGCCTTTTCTTTCTTTTTCTTTTCTGCTTCTGCTTCTTTTTCTTTTTCGATGACTTCTACAAATTTGTCGACTTCTTCTGGCTGTAAAATCTGCAAGAGAGAAAAAATGATTCTTGAATCCAGAGCCTTTCACTGTACCACTAAAGGTTTCAGTGAAGAGATGGAATGAAAAAACTAGACTTGCACAACACCCTGAGAACGTCTGCGTGGGAGGTTTAAGCCCTAGCGACGGACCATGAAACTTTGGTCTAATTCACGGGGAAGCGTCGCCTGTGGTGGCAAGTGTAATTACAGCCGAACCTTCATATCCGACCGCCTATTATAAGCGACCACCTCCCTAAGCCGGCAACGATCCAAAATATCAAAATTTTCCCAGACAAATTACTATAGTTTCAATCTCACGTAAACGACTCGCCTAGTCCCCAAGCCTCATTATTCCGTGCGGCCAAAACGTTTTGGGTCATGTGGTCCAAGCAAAAATGTGAGGCCCACACAAAAATCCACAAAAGTGAGTCAGCTCATGTTTACAAGACCAGTGTTTCCCGCCCGTTCGCCTCAGATACTTCACCGAAGTGAATTGACCGAGAGGGACTGGGAAAACGCCGTACAGGGACAAGGCAATAGAGAGGAGAAGTGTGACGTCACGTTACCATGGAAGCACTATTTCTGGATGACAACAAAACCAACGACGACGGCGACGGCAAGGAGAACGGCAAAAATAATTTGTTTAAATTAACAAACAACAACTTTAGACGTGCATCACGCTATTTTGTACATTTCTTTGCCGGCGTTGCACCACTACGACATGAAACTTCCTAATTTCACGAGCCCGCTTTATGGAGTAGGTGAGCACAACACAAAAATTATCGCTTTCTTTTTCTAAAATTTGAATAACGATAGGTAGATAAGGTCCCAAAGAAAATTGCGCCACGATTTGCCAATTTTAATGAAAGTGAATAAGATGGGTGAAGTTCGAAAAAGTGCGAATAGACTTTTAAGTGGCTTAACCGGTTTGTTGTCATCCAAAAATTGTGCTACTATGGCAACGTGACGTAACGACTTCTGCTCTCTATTAAAGCGACCACCCCTCGAAAAGGAACGCGACTACTCTCCATCACCTTAAGAAACTTAACGCTTTTGGGGTGACGTTATGAGCGGCAAGTTGTTGTTACTCGAAATATGATTTTTCTGAACCTTTGAAAGCTACTACTTGACGCATTTCTTTTTCTCTAAGTTCGCTCTATACTACACACCATTCAGAGTATACAAAGAACTTTAAGTGACAACATGGAAATACACTTCTTCCAAGTAGAAGATGTGTTCAGACCTCTTCACGTGGGAGAGAGATCCTGTGATGTTCGACTCTCAGAAACGCAATAGTTTAACCGTTTAGATTGGCACAACAACAACTTTGCACGTGCATCACCATTTTTGTACATTTCTTAGCCGTCGTTGCACGACTACAACTTGAAAGTGCCTAATTTCATGTTTGTCGAGGACGGGAACACACGACAACAACTTTCTATTTCTTTTCCTGAACTTTGATACAGTCCTTTAGAATTTAACTCCAAAAATATTTGACGTCATTTGAGGAATTGAACGAGATGGAAATGATAAGCGCCATAAAGTTTGAGGCAGCGCGAGTTCACTTTTTAAGTGACGTTTTCGTAGCCGTCGCCGTCGCCGTCGCTTAAGCTCCCTATTAACTCTTAGCATTTTGGGTAGTCGCTTACAGGGGATTCGAGTTTATTACTGATTGTTAATCTGCCGGACATTACACACACTTTTGAAATGTTAAAGGATAAGGAATGATGACTGGGCTTAAGTTCAGGCCAGAAAAAATGAAGGTCGTCACAATCTACGAACCTTCATGTTCATTCACGAAGACAACTACCGATACTTGTTACTGATTACCTTAAGAGTTTCCCCCTTTCTCATAACTGCAAGTTCAATATTCTTCCCTCCTGATTGTACAACCTGGAAATAACATGCACCTGTAAGCATTTCATTATGACACCTTCATGTGTCTGAAAGATTAGTCAAAAAGATTTTCAGGAAAAGATTTGGCTGTTTGTTCAAGAATAAGAGTCTGCGTGACCAATAACATGACCAGTCAGTGGAGCATTTGGCCGGTCAAGACGCCATTCTGGCCGGACATTGTCCATTGACTGGCCGTTATTTTGAGCCCTGTAAAGTGACGCCTATTCGAGTAAATGCGCTCGGAAGTGTAACAGCCTGTAAGGGTGGAATGATTACACCTTCAATGGTGTAAACTTCAATCTGGAAACCTTCACCAAAATCCCTGGACCTCCTCTGTTATGCTTGTTAGATTAAGTTGTAAGTTACCAAAGACATCAAGCTCATCTCTACATACCTCAAGCAGAGCTTTAATGGCTAGTTTAATGGTCTCATCGTCTGAGTCAGCTACTTCATCTGTGTAGTGTTTCTCTAAAAATTCACGAACAGTTTTTGCACTGCGGCCAATGGCATTTGCCTACCGAGACAAAACATGAACAAAATAAAGATCAGAGAGTATCATCAGCAGTTACAGTAAACGTCAGTTACAGTAAGGGGGAGGGGTCCAGAACATCAAGTTACCAGAGCCACTTGATTGAGGTGGTCATTTAATAGAAGTTACAATTACAAATCTTTTTTACAATTATTATTTTTGGACTTTAAACTGGCCACTTCATAGAGTGAGACCGCTTAATAAACCATATATCTCTATCTATCTAAATAGGAGGTCACTTAACTGAGATTTAACTGCATTATATATTTTACTCAAAAAAAATTTTTTTTCAACATTTCAGAGATAGGTTGAGTTTGATTGTTCGGGTGAACATAGTCCTGAATAGGACTGTTGTTGTTGACAGTGACTGAGATAAGATTGCCATAAATGCCTTGGCCCACTCCTAAATCCAACCATGGATTGATTATTCTCGATATCACAAAACATGAATCTAATAATTGTCTTATTGAACATTGTTTTGAAGAAAATACGGATAAACACAGCATCAAATGGAACACAGTTTGAGATTGCTCTTGGAAATCATGCATTGCGGTCCCAACCTACAGTTTAGTCACTAATCAGCGGGCAGATAACTAAATAGGTTGTGCTAATTTCCAAAACTAACTGTAGGATCTTAGCCAATGAGAGGAGAGATAGTGAGTATAATGTATAATACCGGTAATAATAATAATTAATGAAAATGGTGCAGAGTACCAAGCTGTCTTAAAATAGTCAAGGAGATAGTCACCTTCCAAGCATGATATGTTCCAGAGGGATCTGTCTGGTAAAGGCGTGGAGTACCATCATAGTCAAACCCAACAATAAGTGTAGAAATGCCAAATGGACGGCGACCATTGCTTTGGGTGTAGCGCTTTTAAAAAATCATTTAAGCAACTTGTTAAATGTTAAAAATAACAATTAATAAATTATTAATTAGTAATTATTTTATTGCCACAAGCCCCAAAGTGAGTAGGACACTAATCTTTGGGTTGCCTGTAATTTTTTGGGATCCCTGATCACAAATGTGTATGTTGTTTATCAATGATTAAATGCATGCATATTTTTGCATTGTTATTCAAATTTCAAATCATAAAACTCTTACTGTGTCCTTCTAATTGCACTAAGATTTGCACATTGTGGCACACACAAAGAGTTTCAAATTATTTTCATGTGACTGTAATTGGCCAATTAAGAACCAAATCAAAAAGATATCATGATTGTAGTCCTTTATCCCACAACCATTCATTGACCCAAATTTACATGTATGTCAGTTTATTGTTCCTCTGATGTTTTAGAGCCCAAAATCTGCTTTCAGCAATATACTTACAATAAAATAAAAATGTTGTAATCTCTAGTTCATACATGTATTCAGTAACATACAAAAGTAGAAAAAAGAATAGCAATAGCAGGCAGGGCTAGGCTGTGAAGCAGGGGTCTATACGCCAACTATAACATTACACAACAGCTGTCAGAAAAAAAAAGAAAGTAAAAAAAAAATCCTTATTAAAAAATGAAATTTTTAAGTGATACCATTGTCTGGAAACTGAGTTTGCTAATAAGCACTTTGACGGTAAAGGGTTATGTATCGGTCAAATCGAAGCTTCAACATGCCCCCCCCCCCCCTGGGCAACCCCCCAGGCATATGACTTTTTTGAAAATTATTGTTCAAATTCCCCCCTTCCCGGGCCAAAATGCCACTCAAATGCCCCACACTAGGGTCCATTCAGGTGATCAAATGCCCCCACCCCGGGGACATTTCACAGGCACATAAATGACAGAAAGACGGTGGAAACGCCTTCAGTTGTGGAACAAAATCTTTATAAATATAACAAAAACTGAGAAACACTGTTAGCATATTTACTACGAACAAAAGTCTCGTGCAAAGCGGCGGAAATCGCTGCTACAAGGTAACTGAATGCTTAACTTTTTTTCGTCATGCAACGTACAAAGCGTTCTATAAAAAAATCCCACCTATTGAGATTACTACATCATGACCATTTCACTGACATGCATTATCGCTCACCTTATTAACATACTTGCAGTAGGTCAAAGTAGTTGACCTGAGCTTTTTATTTTATTTTATGTTGTTGTATTGAATCGTCGGTATAGGTATTGTATTTCATTGTAAACACAACAATAAAATACATTCATACATTCATAGCCTGAATCCAATATTAAAAATCTTAAAATTTAAATACTTCAAATACGGCACAAAGCTTGTTTAAGCCCTTTCCTCCTAACCAGCTGACCACAAAGGCACAATCTTTTCCACGAAAATCCTCTAACACCGAGTCGCCCATGATAGCTCGCCAGGCCAAAGATTTTACATGAAATCGAGGGTGCAGTTCAAATCTCCCACCCCCTGGAAGACTCTGATAATCAAATTCCCTCCTCCCGGGGACAGCAAAGGTGTCAAATACCCGGGGTATGTACGGGGGGCGGGGGGGGCATGTTGAAGCTTCGATTTGACTGATACATTAATACCAATATGTCGTGTTTACTATACAAAAAAGGTATCATATGTATTTATGGTTCCTTCCACAAATCAACCTGGATTTTTTTTTTCTTCAAAAAACAGTATGGTTTTAACATCAAAATCAGTAACCAAAACAATTAAGAGGAAAAATGAAGTAGAAAAAGAGAAAAAGAAAAATAAGTATCGTCGTTCCCACACCGGGAATCGAACCCGGGCCACGGCGGTGAGAGCGCCGGATCCTAACCACTAGACCATATGGGATTGACGACTTCAGAGGTTGAATTTTTCGTATATTAATAGCTCTACCACGTGACTAGACCACGGGTGTTCTTATATTCTCCAAAAAACAGAACTTTGATTAGGTAGAAACCTTAACAAAACATAAACTTATTTACCTGTTTTAAGGTCGCAATATATCTTGTAATGTACTCTAGAGTAACAGGATCTTCAACGGTAAGTTTGTGGCTTTGACATTCTACACGGGCTCTATTCACTAAAATTCTAGCGTCCGCTGTCAAACCTACAACACAAATTAACGAGGAACCATTAACTGAGAGCTTTTTAACTCATTTTTTTCTTAAGAAATCCTAACTTTTATTACCTGCAAAAGCCATGACAACGTGGTCATCCAGAGTGCAAATTTTTCTAACAGTGCGTGGTTCTTGGAGTTTAGCGACCGCCTTTCTCTCCACTCCGAGGACGACAATATTTTTGCCGCGGACTCCAACCTTTAAAACAAGGGTTTGTCAATGATTTTTCAATGAAATCGCTATCAGATGCGGACATCAAATGCGAGAGTCACTAAAAAAGACGAAAAGATTTCAAAAAATAAGCTTACCGCGGTTGAACCTTTCTTCACCGCCTCTTGGGCGTACTCTACTTGAAAAAGATGCCCATCAGGTGAAAATATGGTTATTGCTCTATCATACGAACCCCCCGACATATCTGTTTGGTTTTTAAGATTCTTTTTATGAGCGGAAGAAAAACAGCCAAGAAGAAATAAAAGTTGTGAACAGAGAATGACTTTGCATGAGGCTTAGTAACCATGCGACTAGTTGATATCCCGTGAGTCCACGCGAGTCTTTGGTTTACAGGCGCGAACTACAAACATGGCGGGTACAGAAAAATACGTTTTTAAACCATTTTAAGTGGTTTTATGGCAATGAAACTGTCTATACCCGTTAATTTTTCATTGTTTGAGATAAAAGCAAACTTTCTTGCTCATATATGAACTATTTTAAGCGCCCAAACGAGAGTCTAAAGCATTTGTGTTTAATGCAAAATGGACGTCAATGAAGCTACCCCTCGAGAAATTATCCGTGGAGTATTGACCACAACAAGCATTAGTAAAAGCGCCAGAAGTGTGCGACCAAGAACAACCCCAAGAGCGGTTAAGGTGAGGGAAACTCCAGTTAATCCTCCGTCCCAGGCGGAGGTAGCAAGCCGTATGTTAACTCGGTCAAGATCTGCGAACAAAAGGAAAGCTCCTTTGGCTAGTGCTACAACACCTTCTGATTCCACGACACCGAGAACTCTGGTAAGCTATGACTATAATAAGATAACGGGTAAGATTTCTGCTCAGCCCCATACATTTATTATGCATTCATGTTTTGACTCTATTCATACAAACTATTTGTGTGAAATAGTATGAAATTTCTGCACAACACATGTATGAGGCTGTACAGAAGTGTTACCAGATTTTGTAGTTAAGATTAAAATTAATTCATTCATTCATCACAATTTTGAGATCTGGAATACCATCATATTTATGGAAATTTATTTTGTACATCTTTGAAACCCGTTCATGTCATACCCTCTCATCTGGTTAACCTGGCCTCATGACCCCTTGGGCCTGAGTTGCATAAGGTGAAGGGGCTCATACTGTTGTTCTAAAACAATAACTTATTGTTTTGAAACAATACACAAGAGTTCTCATAATTTTAACATTCTCAGTGTTCTCACCAGGCCGCGGCCTTGCGGGATTCCCGCAAGAAAAAATGAAATGGCGCATTAAAACCAAGAAGATGCACCTGTTAGGGCGCAGGGGCAAGCTACGAGTCAAACGGACTTAAGTAGTTTTAATGGTTAACCTAACACTAAAGCATTCTGTTTGTTTGAATAAATAAAAAACACGATATCAAATGAGTCAAAGTCTTTAATTTTGTTGCCTTTACTTTCGTTGGTCCCACGCACGTCCCACTACATCGTAAGCTCGTCCTCCGAATAGTAAACACCTCTTCCGCCATATTGGATCAGGTAGGTACTTCATGTAACAGACAATTTGGAGTGCGGGCTCAGGCCCCCTAATGTTCTTACAGGGCCCCTATTTCTCAGAAGAGGGGGCCCTGGGACTCCCCAAGGCAAAATCCTGGTGAGAACACTGCATTCTGTATGCAACCAAGCCCTGCCCTCAAATTCTTTGCTACAATAACAGTTCTTACCAGACCACAGCATTGTGGCATTGCCACACTTTTCCAGGAAATGCTGCACTATAATAAGCCCAAGGTGTCTCAAGGGCACAAAGAAGGAGAAAAAAACCTCTTACAAAACGTACATAAACATACGTACAAACACGTACATTTCCTTTTTTCTATTATCTAAGACAGTGTGAGGTATTTACTTCCGCTTTTCTTCCTCATGACCCCCTTTAAGCTTCTCTATGGGTCCTGTAGACCCCAGTGTAGCAAATCCTGGCAAGAACACTACAGTTTACCACTTGAATCCTGCATAGCAGCAGAGTAATAGACCCTTCCACGGTTTTTTTCTCTAGTTTTGATTAGGATCATTTGGCGAAAATCTGTCAACACAGCTGAAAAAAAGAGCACCTAAAAATTGGTAAACTTGCTGAGTTTGAAAAATAATAGATCTCAAACAAGAGTAGATTATAGCTTAACAAAGACACAAAATTTTAAAGACATTTGCATGGTGGGCAGGGGGCAAGTTGGTGACCTAATTGCTGTGTTTATTCTCTTCAAAGATTTGGGCTGATAAGTGGACTTTCAACAAGTCAACCTCACGAGTTTCTAAGCAAGCAGAGCAAGTTTTTAGGGGTTTCTAGATTAGCGGAGCAGCTTTTTAGGATGCAATGCAGCTGAGCGAGTAACCTTCATCCTGAGCCACATTAAGTTGGATGATTGAAGGACTTTTTGAAAGTCTAGCAGATAAGCTGAAGCAACCTCTTGCCATTTAAGCAAGCTGTATTCTTATTATTTTTTGACATCTCCTCTTGATCTGGCTAGATTTCAGGATTTCTGCAAATAGCACCAGTGGCTAAAAGTGCCGTGAAAGTAAAGAAACCAAAAACAGTTCCACCAGAGATAAGTGAAGCAAAAAGTGGAAAAACGAGAGCAAGTCTTCACAATGACAATACTCCGAGGAGCACCATTCAGAATGTGTTACGGGAAGGTACAGAAAGTTTGTTCCCTATTTGGATTACAAGGTCACATGATCTCTCAATTCACCTTCATTTGATAGCATTTTTAGTTTTTCATATATATATATATATATATTTACTATTACAAGAGGTTTCTACAAAACTTACAGTACATTACAAGGGTAATAAAAAATAGAACAAGTTATATAAATCAAGAAAGGTGAAATGTGCATAGTGACCAAAGGAGCTTAGGCTTTCAAGTTCATTTCCATCATGTGTTTATTAATGTAAGTGCTGATAAACATGATTCTAAACAACTAGAGTTTAGTTGACAGTTATTGTCACAACTTTTTTACATTTCTTGATCCCTCTAAATAACCCTTAAATGTACTTTTAAAAGCGTAAAAACCTTTCAAAACACGTGTCTCTTTTCAAGGGAATATTGCAATACTCTATCTTACTGAACATTATTACTGAACACTATTTAAATTGCAATTATATTATTATTATTATTATTGTTCATATCTCACACCACTAGTTGTATCGGTGGTCACATATCCCTAGGTCATCAAACTATTTCCTATAGCCTTAGGTGTCTAGGGTCCTTCTTAAGACCTTTTATGCTGTTCCCAACAAGCAAGCTTCGTGGAGTAATTTCAAGATCCCAGGTGTTCCTATCTTAGTAACCCACATCATCAAGTTTTGGTCACTGCTCCGCCCCAATTAGAACAACAGGTATGCTTTTGCAGTTCCACATCTTTTGTATTTCCACTTTTGAGTCCTGATAGTGGTTGATCTTCTCTCTTATTTGGCACACTCTGCTCTCCCTTTTCAGGGTTTCTGCCACATGGCTGTTAATTTTTACTTTTGGGACTGGTTTTCTGTTCTTCATGGCCATCTCTTTAGTAATTTCCCATTTTTACCTGATGAGGTTTTCCACTTTTTTCGTTTCCTTGTCCTCTGGGGTCTGTGGGGCTACCCTATTTTCCTGCTTGTTTTCGTCCTGCGGTATAATTTCCAGGTTTAGTGGAGGTTGTGTTGGTTCTTGTGGGGGATCCAGTTGGGCGGGGATGTTGTTTGCCCACCCAACCCTGTTTTGATTTCTTGGAGCTCTGTTGGAGTGAGCTTTTGTGGTCTTTCTACATACTGACATTAGTTGGCCAAGTTGTTAGTGTCGATATCAGGTTTGGAATCTTGGTTCTTATTGCGCCAAATTTGAGCGGTGTTGTTTTTACTTGGTAATAGCTTTGCGGTGTAGTAAGCTTCCATTATTCCAATATACTCTTCCCAAGTCCATTTGTATTTTTCCCTTCTGGGTCTTGTCTCTGAACTGGCGGCAGATCGTTGAGGGCCACTGTGAGGAGTATCCTCGGCATGGAGTTCCTTTTGTACTTGCGGGAGAGAGTTTGTTGGAGTAGTATACTTTCGATCTCAGCCTGGTTCCACACTGAGGATTGTGACCTTTGTTTATCCGCCTGATGACCAATGCGGCATGAAAATCTATTATTTCTACTTGTCATGTCATGATACTTTGTTGTAACCCTGACGGGGGTAGCTGCGGGGGTTACGAACAACTTGCCAAAGGTGTAACCCTAGACTCTGGCAGGCAGGGTTGTCCATGTCCCCATAGTAGGCTGAGGTCCAACCTGTATTACTCCAGTGCCCTTTATTATTATTATTATTATTATTATGAATGCTATTTAATTTTCCTCTTCTTTAGTGTTTTTTTTTAGTGATTATCTTAGTAAGAATGCAATTGACCTTAAAAATAGTTTCTTCTTTTTTATTCAAAATGAATTGTTTTAATTGAAATGAAATGTTCTTAATTTGAAGAATTTTTGTTTAATGAAATGAATTTTTCTCTAATCAAAACAAAGTGTTTTTTTGAACGAAAGGAATTGTAAATAGTGTTTTGATGAAATAGTTTTTTTCTAAAGTGAATTAATTGTAAATAGGATTTTAATAGTTAGTATTTTATCAATAAAGTACTAGTATGTGGTATAACTTGCAATGTTTATTTAAAAACAGAGATTGGAACAACTTGTAAAAATGTTTCGTGCATATATGTATTAAAAAAGTACACGTTGACAAAAAAAATTACTATTATTATTGTTATTATTATTATCATTATTATTTCTGGGTTTACAAACACTTGCCAAAGGTGTCACCCCAGACTCTGGTGGGTGGGGTTGTCGATGTCCCCGGAGTAGGCTGAGGTTCAACCTGTCCTACTCCGGTGCCCTTTATTATGATTATGATTATTATGATTATTATTATTATTATTATTATTATCACTATCATTATCATTATTACACTGAAAGACATTCTTCATTGTGTCCAGCCATAGCAGAAACTCCAGTAGAGCCAACCTTTTCACCATCCACTGAGACTGAAGATGACATGACACCCCAGCAATCAAACGACAGCAAAAACCAGTCACCTCACATGATAAGCACCGCACCTAATGAGGACAAAACTGACACAGTTGAAAAGTCTGATGAGAGGACAACTACTGGTCAATCAGATGATGTTAACATTGAAGTGGCTTCAGGATCACAGGATTCACTTGAGGAAAGAGAAGATGCAATGCCAAAGTAAGAGACAGTGGAACCTCTCCTTTGAGACAAATTTCTCGTGCAGCACTACCAATCAGAAGCACTGTCCATATCTGGGTAGTGACACATCATCAGTTTGGGATTTCTGCTGTTATTGCTCAGATGTCATTTCACAGGGAAACCAGTGGCAGCATCATAATTAATGTTGGCTGTTTTCTCAGGCTAAAAAGGACCTGGATCCAAAACCTGGCAACAGGGTGCGAAGAAAGTCAGTTTTACAGCTTGCTTTTCAGGCAGGCTGTAGATAGCATGCACTAGCCCAAAAGTCATTTTAACTAGCCTGAAAAATATTCTTTTAACGAGCATGATCGAAAACAGTTTTTCTGTCATTTTTATTCCTCAAAAACTTCACTTGTCCATCTGGTAAGTTGAGAACAGAATTCACTTATCCGATAGCAAAATCATTAGCTCTGTGTTTTGGACACGACTTTCTTTGCATGCTGAGGATTATAACCTCCATTCTGTTCAGGGAGCACCTTAGCACTCAAGACTTGACTGATTTCAAAGGGGAATTGATAAGTTTAAGTGCACACTGAACAATGATGACAGCTTTCACAACATGAACTATCTCACTTAAATCAATGTACTGCACTTGTGGGAACTCAACTTGTTTAAAAAGCATTATTTTGCTGTCAATTTTAGGTAGTTCTTTAGAGCATGCAAACCTGAAATTCTCAGGAATTTGCTTCCTAAACGTTCAGATTTTTATAATTCAAAGTTGGTGATAAACCTGGGCAGCTTAAGCCTCCTTTGAACAATGCACTGTTACCTTATTTAGCAATTAATGAATCAGGCTGAGTAGGATGTGAAGAATTAAGCAGATCGAGGAGGGTGTTATTTGGCCTTGGTGGACAACACCCTCCGAGAGCTAAAACATGCTTACCTGCATTAATGTTAAGTTCATCTTCGATAGTGTACGTTTAGGTTTGTCCAGCTCTGCAAATATTCTCCAAATAGCAGATGTCGCCATCTGAGTTGTCTTTTTGCTGTTTTTGCCATGTTTTTAGCTTTTATTTCGCCTTGTTCCAGCTGTAGTTCTTACTCCTGAAACAAGTAAAATGTCCGCCATTTTTTTTTCACAACCAAAACAACTCCACCTTGTCCCAAGGGGTAACAGTGCCTTAACCTGCAGTGGGCTGCATTTTTGACGTCATTTCCTCGTTAAACACAAAATTCTTCCAAATTTGATGATCAGTAACAAGTTATGGTGAATTATGTGTGTGCTTTTAGCCAATCAGAATTGGGGAAATATGTTGAATGAATAATAATCACTGTTATTCCACTGAAAGACATATAAAGATTACCATTAATTGTTGCTTGGGGTTTTTTTTATGTCATGTGATTTTTTCTATTTTATTTTTTCCTGAGATGTTTTAAATTATTTTCTCGGTATGTCTTATTAAAGGTTCAGTTCCAGTGTTAATGACGATAGTGCCTCATCAATTATGGTAACTGCAGATCAAGCTTTGCAAACAGATACAGTGATCAGTGATGATGCTGTGCAACACAAATCTGGGATGTGGCAAGATCTGGTTACTCCTAAACTGCCTCTTAACATTCCAGCAGCAGGTGGAAGACAGTCGTCTGCATCAAAAAATGATGAAGCAGAAAGGTAACAAATCATTCTGATATCAAAGTATCATTTATGAAAATTATGTCGCCAATTAGTAATTTGTTACAGAATGAAGGGTTTCCCCAGTTAGAGTAAACAAGGAAGGAGTTTTGTATCATTATAAGATTCTGAAAAGCTGCCAACTCACCCCTCCCTTATCCCAATATTTTGCTTTTGGCAAAAAGTTAGTGTTAACTTTGGGTTAGGGACAGATCATTAAGAAAGTTATGGAGGGGGCGGGTGAAGTACAGACAAACATTTCCACGCAAGGGAAAAATTAAATGGAAAAATTCACGTGCTCTAAGTAACCCCAAAATAATTCTAAAAAATATATTCATGCAAGAAAAAATAAAAAAAATTCATGAAGCTCAAAAATTTCCCATCCCCCACCTCCATAACTTTTCCAATGGGCTGGTGGGCAGTTTCCCAGGATCTTACTTATCCAAATTTATTCCCCCTAGGAAAGGAAAATGTACTGCAATTTACCTGTGAAGAAGGCTCTTTCTCATTGCACAAGCTTAGAATACATCTGATCTAAGTCCGATTAAAAAACTTTACTTTGATTTATGATGTTTAGAGCTGCTGGTGCAAAGAAGTTTTTTGGACGGAAACCACCAACAGGAAAAGTTGACACAGCAAAGAGTTCTAAGTATGTAGTCTTTTTTATTCCTTACTACAGCCAACTGTCTCTTAACAGACACCTCTATAGTAAAAATTGATGGATAACTCCCTATAAAAATGGACACCAAGAATGGCATTGACAAAACCCTGCCAGCGTCTGTTTTGTTGATCAACTCTGGTTTGTAAAACCTGTATTAAACAGTCCACCTTTATTAAGCAGTCAGTTGGCCATTCCCAAGGGTTACTGCAGGTCTACCAATAGTTTGTTATTTACAAGCATGACAGAAACTTAAGAACTGCAGAAAAAAAAACACACAAATCAGCTTGTTATCAGATCAGGTCTTGAGCCTGGGACCTTCAGTTTATAAATGCAATGTGCTGTCTACCAACCACACTGCGTCTCTTATCCCTTAAGGTGATTCATTAGTAATAGAACCTAACATAGATTGTAGATGAAACTTGGTACACTGATTGAACAAGTCAAGAAGATGATAAAAAAGTAATAAAAAGTGGGGGTCACCCTTCTTGTTTTGACGTGAAAATGATGACAAATACGGCTATTTGGGAGCATTTACAAAAACCGCGGGCAGCCAAAACTGGACAAAAAGGGGAGATTTTTTCGATGATGCTTGTGGTATCGAACAGAATTTGGCTTTAATGCACGGTTTATCCACTTACGTACCAGAAAAATGCCTTTTAATGCCCTTGTTTTTACTTTATGCTCTAAAGTGGAATTAAATTGGACACGCGCTATTCGACCCTTGATAGCTCAATCAGTACAATTTAGTAAAATTGCCAAAAAACTGAACATAGATTTGTGCCAATTTTTTTCTCATCGAAAGGAAGCACTGTCCTTATTAAAATCATGAAATAAAAAATGGGGGTCACCGTACTCGTTTTTGCGGTAGAGTTGCAGAAAGTGCGTACCAAATGCATTTTCTCCGATTTTTGAGAGAGGACTGGGGCGAGTTTCAAATAGAATGCGTGGTAAAGGGGGAAGAAAGTATTTAAAAATCTGTTTTTACAGAATTTACATCGAGATATCATGTGATAAAGAAAGCGTTTAAATGAAAATGAAAGTGAGTAAGCGCAAGTTAATCATCCACTATCGAGGTTCTCCGTGAGGAAGTCGAACTCAGCAGCACGCGTACTGCTTACGTTATGCACATTCCCAACACATTGAGTTTTTCCTGGACAAGAAACAACAGCAAGCAAAAATTCCAATAGCGTTTCTCTTCAGTCAACTTCATTTAATAATGTTACTTCACATAACTCTTTTTTACAGCGGCCATCTTGTTATGCGCAGTAAGAGATGCGCAATGCAAAACTAGGGAATCACCTTAAGCTTCACCACCCTCTCATCTTCTTCATCATCCTTTAATTTTCAACAGGAAGCCGACGGGACCTAAAATGCCAACAAATCTTGTGAGGGATATTTTCCAGCATTTCTCTCAAGCAAAGCTTTCAAGGGAAGCTCTTCAAGCCGTTGAAAATGGGTAAATCAACATTCAAACAACATTTTGTTTCTCTCTCATCCACTCTAGCAACATAATTAGCTACAATTACTAACAACTTTTAATAGAGTCATACTGAACTGTATAGACTGGAACTAGACCTCAACCTTTTCCTCAAACATTTAGTTCCCAGTTCCTACATCTGTAGTTCCAGGGGCATACTCAACAAAGTCTTATACAGAGGAGGCTACACCCAAGGTGCAACCCCTTACCCTTTTGTAACCATTTTTGACAGAAAACGTACCCCTTTCATATACCTTTCTATTGACAAATAGTGCCCTTTTCACATTTCTAGTTTAGAACTTTGCATCCCTTTTAACTACTGTAAATGCACTCTATTACAGTCCGTAAGCGGACCCCTAATTAACCGGACGCTAAGCCGAGTCCCTAAATTAACGTCTTTTATTATATAGACACGAGTGTTTTACTGGAAAATGTACCACTCGTAAGATTCATAAAAACTACATCCGGGACCCGAGTGGTTTATTTTCCATAATCTGACACGTGAGTTTATCGATGACGTAAGTTCAGTCATTTCCCTCTATTATTTTATGGATGTCTTTTTGTCTATATAATAAAAACAATATTTGGCAAAAGCAATATTTACTCACTCGCTGCGCTCTTTCGTAAAATATTGTTTTGCCACTCGAAAATAAAATTCATATCTTCGCGCCACCGTGTAATATTCTCTATAAATTTAACGAACCCCTATTCAGCGGACAGTAAAATATATTGTATTTGGCTAATGTCTATTGTTAAAAACCTCTATTAAGCGGACGCCAAACTGAATTGACAATAGTAGTATTGGATTACGTCCTTGAAATACGTCGTGCAGTCGATTAATAAAGATAAATCAATACATTTAGATGTCAATAAACTGTAGATTACACCGATAACCGGCTGTAATCGTCATCCACGATCAAAATTCACCTAAAAGTCTTGCTCAAAGTACAGCACTTCATGGAACTTTATCACAGTACAGAGTAACTTTTGAATGTTAATCTTAACAAACTTTGTTAAAACAAACATCGCGCAAACCTCTTTGAGGCGGACACTTGGGAAGGTCCTGAAGGTGTCCGCTTCATAGAGGTTCACTGTATTACAAAACCAGAACATTTCGTTGATGTTTTCACTTCTATAAAATGCATCTGTTGGCCCTTTTTTGGCCTTTTTATAGACCGAAATGAAAGATCTCCCGAACGTTTCATATACCTCAACTAGTGAATTCATCCTTTCATGTACCTGAGGCCTGGAAAAGATACCTTTTTGGATGAATCCTCCCTCTATAGGCCATTATGGGGAGTACTTCCCCCGCCCCTTATGTGGGACTCAGTGTGCTTGTAATTGTCTATTATGAATATAGAACTTTGTGATAAAAGTTTCCATTTTATTTCATAAAAAATAATCCTTCCTAAAGAATGTTTGGTATTTACTTAATTTATCAAGTGAAGAAATGTTTTTGTGGGACTAATTTTCCATTCCCAAGAAGATAGACTTGCGACAGTTTTCAGTAACTAATATTTGCATGATTCTTTGACAGGTCACAGCTATTTTTCAAGCAAATTTCATCTGATCTTATGGCTTACTGCCAACATGCTCACAGAACGACTATTGAGCTTTCTGATGTGGAACTCCTCATGAAAAGGTCAGAATCAGAATTCCTTACTTCTTTACTGAATTACAGTACATGGTTCAGGAACTGTGATTACAGTGTATGAATTGAAACCTTTCTTGGAAATAGAGCGTTAAAACTAAACTCAAAGTAATTACTTGTGCAAATACATTACGTGCAGAAATTTACATGAACCATCAGATTCTAAAGCAAAATTATTGTTATTATCATTATCATAAACATTGTTATTTTTATTATTTATTATTTTATCTATTTATCGCCATTTTTTTTTTCAACTTACTCATTAGCCCTGGTTGTTTGCCGAAAAAGCGCCCTTTGAAACTAGTCAAACTGTTTTATGCTTGCCATCTGACGGTCTGGTCATAAAGAAGCCGAACTACCCTAAAACTTATGGCCGTTTACACCAAAAAAAATAAAGAGACTTGTCTTACACAAGACCTGAACGGAACTGTACCATTTTTGCGAGCATGTCATGTCTTTCATGTCTTATTTCTTGTCCTGTACTCGTTTTTGTTTACCCTCTGTATACAGAGGTTTTTATTCTAGCACTTCAGCACTCCGTTCTCTATGTTTCTCGCCGCATGGTGAGCGAGATGACCCCCGGTATCCTGGGTAGTTCTTCGTGTATCTGTTCTCCAGACCTTATGTCTTTGTTTATTCGAGGAATTTATCTAGAGCAAAGCGCGCAAAAAGACTACTTCTGGCCCCTTAAGCTTGGTTCTCATATTTCGCCGAAGTGCGACATAGCCGCGGGCACTGCCTGAGATACTACTTCGACATATGAGGACATAACGCCGTCGGCTCAAGAAACATCGCAAGTCTTTACCGCCGGTATGCCTGCGAAGTCGAACTCGTGTCAACTTCGCAGGCATGCCGTGCGGTAAAGACCTGACATGGCGTCTGTTGCCGGCGACTTCTGTTCTCATGTCGGAACGGTATCGCAGGCAGTACAGGCAGCCCTGTCGGAGTCATGTAGCAGGTAGATCGGCGGCCTTGAGAACCAGGCTTTATGCTAGCAGGCAATTAATCCCCCATGGGTTTTATATTCATAAGTGCGCTCGACAACCTCTGAAGAGAAAATAGTAGGTCTGTAAAAAGACTTTTAGAAACAAAACTGTCACTCAAACGCCGGGCCTGACCGAACGTTTTCGATCTACTCACTGGTATCAGTTTGCAATTCCTAGCAAAGACGTTTGACCACTCGTTATGAGTCAATGTAGTCGTGACTAAAACCCGCAACCTCTCGCTCAGTAGACCCTTGTACTCTCCTACCTAGACTAAGTGAGTAGTTGTCCAATCCAGGCTGAAAAGTTACCAAACATTAATTTGAATCCCAGTTTCATATAACATCACGAAGATCAGACCGTGACTTTTATAGGGAAGTACCTCTCCCGGGAATTGGGGATCGAAGAGTATGACCATTCTTTAAAATACTTTTTTCCTTCCTTCTTTCTTTTAGACAAGGCTTCATTACTGAAAATCAGTCACTGTATTCGCTGGTTGAAAAGTATCTTCCTCTGGAATATCGACAAGAAATCATCCCCACAGTACACGCAGGGAACAAGATCGTCCTGAAATAATTCCCCAGCCGTACATACATACTGTACAGAGAACAGACTGCTTAAAAGCCACTGAAAGAAGATAGCTAATGACCTGAAGCATGGTGTACCTCACCAGCATTTTTAGCCTCTGAACATTTCTGGCTAGCAATTTTTTTAATTATTATTTTGCGATGTTTCTGAGGCATTAGCTTCTCTTGGCATAACAAGTACAATCCTTCCCTATTTTTTTCCAACTCCACATTTACCATTTTCACATAAACCATAATGCACCTTGTTTACCCCACCCCACCCCCCTTCAAATCTTGCATAACCATTGTTTCCAATTTTTCCTGGGTATTTCAGTCGTTCCCACAGAAATCAAAGACAATGGCTTTGCAAAGTATTGAGTAGTAATCAAGGTGCATTGAAACTGGTGCTGATTGCCAAAAAAGCTGAACCACCGCGCTGCTTCTTTCCTTGAGGTCTGTGCGCATGTCCCTTTTTCTGTTGATACAGAGCCTCCGTTACTTTTGTACAGCGGATAGGATCGCGGCCTTTGGGAACGAGATTGGTGGTTGTGAGGAATGAGCAGAGGGATTTAAGTCTGTCAGGAACGGAGAAATACTTTGAGTCAAGATAGGTGAATCTTTCGTTTGGGATATTAGAGTGATACCACGAGCTGTTCAAGTCTTCAATAAGTTAAACCATGTTTTAATAAACGGACGTTGCAACGCCTTGTTTATAGATGTAACATATTTTAAAATTACATAGAATTAGTATAGTTAAACATTAGAGTAGGTTTTTAACATTGATATTTATTCCCTTCACTTACCCTAGGTTAGCCTGGGACCAGGCTGCGCATTGGGAGAAAAACGAAAACAAAATCTGCGCGAGAAGCGAGCCGGGAGGTAGTCTGGGGACGTAGTGATGGATAGTGATGTGAAGTGATGTGTAGTGGTGGACAGTGATGTGTAGTGATGGATAGTGATGGAAAGTGATGTGTAGTGATGGATATTGATGGATAGTGATATAGTGATGGATAGTGACGTGTAGTCATGAGTCGTGATGGGAAGTGATGTGTAGTTATGTTGAGTGACACATAGTTACATGTTACATGAAGATATTTTAAGTCGATTTTTTATATTGGTGTAGGTGAACACGGATTTATTACCCCTTTTCCCTCCCCAGGCTACCGCTTGGCTCGCTTCGCTTACCAATATTTTTCCTATTTGACCCCGCTTTTTGCCTTTTTTTCCCCACTGCGGAGCCTGTTCCCAGGCTAACCCTAGGTCAAAATGTCAAAAATAAAACGATACTTACCTGAACGTACTAGTAAAAACAGAAGGTGAAAAAATAATGCTTGTTCTCTTAAAATTTATTGAAGGGTCTGTTACAATTAAATGACCGGTAAACCGAACGTTTGTCCGCGCAAATGGATAAAGATGTACAGGGATTTAGTATCGCATTTTTGATGATATTTGTGAGCAACCACAATACAATTGTGAGTCAGGAGACCCATGAGATTTTATCGCCCTTGTCACTTCATTACATTTGCGACCTGTTATTTCTGTCACTCATAGTGCTTACAATGCCTTTGATAGCGGGCAATTACAGTGAAGAAATTTCCAAAAATTTACAGTTGTTGAAACGACAACTGTAAGAAAACGTAGGCAGTAGCAAATAAATCCGCAATGTGCTTTGGAAATAGGTGGTGCGGTCCTTTACACACCCTCCCTAGCCAATCCCTAGATCGAGAAGCCGATGCAAAGCTCCTTGAAGTCGATGGTCACTTCAGTGTCTGTTACATGATACCAGTCGCGGTTGCGGAGGTCAGAACTTAGAAGTTTGTGACCATCTTATATGAAAGCAATTGCAAGTTCTTCCATTTGGCGTGGAGATGGTGGAGTAAGTAACGTGTCGATCTTTTTTGTGTTTATTACTGGTGTTTTGCGTGGTTATAAATTCAATTTTTGTTTTTTAGGAGAATAAAAGATAGTCAACTTTCTGCTTCGATAAACCAGAAGCTAGTAGAGTCGGGCGAGCGAGAAAGGTAAAGCCTAGAAAACTACGTCGTCTCATTGTAAAGAATGCCCCCGGTAAACACTCTAAAATCTAGATTTCTCGTTTTACTTTAGGCAAAAAAATTAAAACATATCATAGAATAAGATTTTTTTCCTCGTAAATTGAAAGCGCCCCTTTAAATTACAGAAAAAAGAGATCTTATCCTATGATTTGTATTAATTTTTTTCTCGTAAAAATTTACCCTGCAAGCAGAGTCGCTTCGATCTTTCCTAGATAAGTCGCTTTCCTCTTTCTCGACTTAATCAAGATCGAAGCGACGCTGCTAGCAGGGTAGTAAAAATTAATAGCAAAAGTTTTTCTCAAATTGAGAGATTGGGGCAATCTCGAATTTAGAGTGAAATATGCGACTTTAACTTGTAATTGATAGAGTTTCGACTTTGGTTTTCTCCCTGTAAACCGTCTTTAGGTTGGTATTGCTTTTTAGCTAACCTTCAAAAAAGTCTGTGAATTAAGCTTTATTTACTCGGATCCAAGGTCCAGACCTGCTGACCCCTCATAAAGGAAATTCTGGAAATTAATGAAAAAAAAATCAGGAGATTCTACAAAAAGTAGTGAGATTCTAATTTTCCTGATCAAGATTAAACGAACCCTTTTTCCATTCCAGTGGGGGAATGAACTGTTTATTTAAATATTACCCTGCTTAAGTCGGGTCTCTCCTGTAATGAATTAGATGCGGCTTTTTCTTTGATGACTTTTATTCAAGAGGCCAGAGAATAGGTTACCACTGTGATGAAACTTAAGCTTATAGCAAGGAGTCATTTCTTTCAGATAAGCTAACTTCATGGCTAAAATGTTACAAAGCCCCATCAAGGCTTAACCAGGCTCTAGCATTCTGCGCAAAATTTCTTTTTTTTTATTCTTCAAGGCAACATTTCATTTGGGAGTGATATTTCCCAAAAAGACGTGACATTGGGAGTCTTGTCACGAGTGTGTGGGAAAAGTTAACAAATCATGAGACTCACGATAGAGTCATGAGAGTTGGCAGGTCTGAAGATACACACAGGTAGTTCCAACAGATCCAATGAGAGAGTGCATCTCATTAACCCCCGAAAGGCATGCAAGAATGTTTTGTCAGTTGGTGCCATTGGTATGAATAGAAAAGAGGGTATCGAGAGGGTACCAAGAGTCTCTGCAAGAACCCTTGTTTCCAACATGATTCAACATTGTTGGATCCAACAATCTTTGATGTTGCTAAGGATATGCGTACAATGAAGTAACACGTTCAGAGCTTTCACTTTAAACAAACACAGTGATAGATATTAGGGAGCTAAATGACAAGGGCAATGATGACAACAAGAACAGCATACAAGCAACAGACATCTTGAACGACGTAAAATAAGAGGGATGAATTTTGAATGGCATATATTAATTTAAGAGACTTTTTTTTGCCACCGTAGTCATCATCGTTGCTTAAGCTCCCTAATCAAGTGACTGCACACCTTTGTGCTAAATAACATGTTCATAATGTGATTCCTCTTTTGATTTATTAAAGGTTGAAGGAACTTTTAAGAACCAAACTCATTGAATGTGGTTGGCGTGACAAATTAAGGAGTCACTGTAAAGGTAACATTATATGTTTTTGTATTCCTAGACTTTCACTCAATTAAACAGGGACAGCCATTGGCTGATTCTTGGTCACATGGCCTTGACTAAAATCAAATGTGTCCCGATTGTAATACATTAAGCAATGTACCCTGCTCAGGATACATTACAGCACATGATCAAAGCAAGGTGGAAAGTGGCGTGACAGAAGGCTTGAAAAACACTACCAGTTTTCTTTTTCATGAATGAACACAACAACAGAATCCTGAAGCCTCAAGCTAAAAAAAAAACAATTTTCAAAGTTATCCCAGAAGAGAAGCAGCAGCTAGTGGAGGAAAAAGGAGCAGATAATATAAGGAGAGTACTTTGTAAATCATTCATTAAGTGGTTTGAGAATTAAATTTGTCTTGGGAAACTTCAGGACTCTCGATAAAACAAAACTAGCTGTTTCCCTCGGGATCTGACATTAAGTGGATATTATACAAGTCTTGTTTAGTGTATTGGTGTAAAATCCATTCACAAGCAGCAATGATACTGGTGAGGAGGAGTACTCATATAAATTTCGGATAGGTCTGATGGGTTTGTGGGGCCCAGGGTTTTAAGCCCTGACCCTATTTAAGGATTCAAGACGAATGAAAACTGATACCCTTTTTAGGGCCCAAAGCTGGAAAATGAAGCCCAATTAAAGGGAAAAACAAAAACTAAGAATTTAATGGAAACACACAAATCTTTCTTAAATTGCTTCTGTCATACTCTGAGGTAAAGTTCAGTTTTAAAAGCTGATGTGTTTCTTGTGTAGTGGGGCATTTACGCAGTTGAAGTTTAGCTGATATAATAACAGAATCCTATCTAAGGATCACACCGAGTATACAGTGCCAACAAGGGCAAAGCTGCACATACCTATCTAGCTCCTACATGGGAGTGCACCACCCCCCCTCCCTGCCTACCACGCAATGATAGTATTGCCAATGACTCTAGTGAGTAATCCACTTTGTTAATTCTGACCTTCCATTGCAGAAGTGATTAAACAAAAAGGCCTTGAAAATGTCACAGTGGATGATTTAGTTGCCGAAATAACTCCTACAGGAAGAGGTGAGGTCTGGGTACCTACATCTTTGTGATGAGTTGTGGGTAGACTTTTGAATGAGTTCGACATAAGGGTAGGGTGGGGTGAAGGTACAAGCAGGTGCTTAATACCTTCAGTCCGATCAGAATAGCTGGATTTTCTAAAAGCTATCAGTAAATGTTACCCAAGAGACCACAGCTTGGCTTCGGTGAGCTTTAAATCACACCAACAAGTGAGAAGGTCGCTGCTAAGACTAAGAAGCAGGGCTGTCAACAAGATATTTTGAAGTTGCCAGGTAAAAACAACAAGTAGGCGGGGAATCAAACCGCTAGGGATTTCGTTGCAAGGTTCTATTTTTCTTCTATTTTCCTATCAAAATAGCTGGCGGCCATGTTAATAGTAGCTGGGGGAAATCCCCTGCCCCCGCCTCTTAATGACAGCTGCACTCTCTTGCATGGTTTTTAGCATTTATGAAGTCATTCACGTGGCTTGTCTGTCACTTAGTCGGTCTTATTTATGCAATGACAGCCCTGAAGAAGTGTTAAAAATGCACTTGGTGAACATTCAAAATTTCTCATAACTCATACTTATGAGGTACATGTGTTACTCTCAGTTCATTAGTTCTTGTAGGTTTTGTAGGGCAATGTTGCAAATCAATCTGAATTGATGGGCCTTGTGACTGGAACTATTCTATAGATATCATTAATTCCAAGGTCTAGAAAGAATAAACAAGTTCTACTCATCCACATACTCAATTGTTTTGTCAAAATCAAACAATATTGTTTGAAAATAATCTTAATGGTGCAAAATTCAATATCAATGTCGTTTCCTACAATAAATTTACCTTACCAAACATGATCATTTTAATGTAGTGGCATGGCTCACACATTTAAGATATACTTATTTTTTCTTTACAGCTTTAGTACCAGATGAAGTGAAAAGAGAGATGCTTATAAAGATTCGTTCATTTTTGGCTGCCAATTCCTGACTGTTCATATATTCACACCCTTTACAATGCTCTGTACTTTTTAATTCTTCACGAACTTGTTTGCTATTCTTACTTTGAAAGATGACTTGAAAAACTTGTATTGCCCTGTTATTTAAACTAAGCTTTTGATGGTTTTTCTCTAAAGAACCATAGAAGTCACCTAGCACACTTCAATGTTCACAAGATATTGTTTGCTGAAAACAATGTCTTGAGGTTGTTTTAGCAGAAACTAGCTAACTGTCTTAATCCACTGTTTTATATCCTAGTTAATCTTTATTGAAAGAGCCGACCCTTTAATTTATTAGTATTTAAATGTGTCTATGTAAGTTCAATAATAACAATGCTTCGTTTGTTTTGATCTGCTTGTATTATATTACAATAAATTTGTAATTTTTGTAGCATTTCTGGCTTTCATCCACATTTATCTTTCTAGCTGGTAATTTTGTTCCATGCATGGTCTGTATTAAACGTGTTTGTCTTCTAGTGAAAACTCTCCAGTTTAAAAAAGTTTCGGCTAGCCCTCTCCATAGTTAGAGGGCCGTGTTTGATTCCCAGTAGCTTTAAATACCCTAAAAATGGAGAGCTGATGAAGAGAGGGGGGAGGGGGGTAAAATGAGCGAACCGTCAGCCTCTAGCTTGTTATTCACCAATCTCATCCACCAGGGTCCTCTCGTTTTCCAATATGGGAAAACGAGAAGATCATGGGTACGAGTTTCTTTAACCACGTACCGTAAATCCTCCAGTAAGTCCCCCCATTTGAGGTGGGCTTATTTAATTTAGAAAAGACGATGGTATCAGTTCTCCATAAAGAACTAGTATACAAAATGGAAAAGCTCAAGTACAAGAAGATTGTAGGTCATACAGCTGAGGATCAGAATTTCAATTCCAAACTTCCAGTTGGTGAATAAACCATTCCGGATCAGCCCACACGACGTTTTACGGTCGTGATTGCTTAATACAGTCTATCATTCATTAGTGAAGAATAATTATCGGAGGGGAGGGGGGGGCTTATCAACTTTCTTCCCCTGAAAAGGGGGAGGCTTATTTGAGAGTGGCGCTAAATAGAGAGGATTTACGGTAATGATTATTTCGAACTACGAGGTAAGAGCTTGTATCTTTATATCGATCAGTATCTGTTCAGGGCAAAGTATCGCGCTTGTAAACGGCTGATGAACGTTACACCAAAATGGTGGGCAAATAAATTACCCATTCATATATTCTGTAGCTGTCCGATCAGCCTTGCCGCCAATTTTTAGTTTGATTTCCACGTAACTACCTTCTCTCTCTTTATTTCATTTTTTTTGTTTGTTTGTTTGTTGGATTTTTTTGCGTCAAATCTTCTCAGGCAGCTTGTCTGTCCGCTGGGTTTTCTGGTCTTCTGATGGTTTTTTACATCATGGAAGCATTCTTGTTAGGGTCTGTGTCTAAAACAAATATATCAATAATGCCAGGCTACAACTACAGTTCGTTTACAAACACTAAACAAAGTCATTACAGGAAACTCAATATCAACAGCTCTTTGGGCAGTGTCTGCGGAGCTGGGGACCGGTATTGGCTGTTTGTTAACGATTAAATTTCAACGGTTACTCTGTACTGTGATGAAGTTGCACGTTGTTAAAGAACCTATCGAGGGTTCAAGTTCATTACCGACTTTAATTTGTTTGTAAGTGCCAAAACATTAACTGACTTCAGTACATATTTCAAGGACGTAATCCAATATTACTATTGTCAATTCAATCCGGCGTCTGCTTAATAGAGGTTTTTAACAGTAGAAATTAGCTAAGTACAACTTATTTTAGTGTCCGCGTCCGCTTAATAGGTGTCCGCTGAATAGAGGTTCGTTATAAAGTGAAATATAAGACGTTAATTTCGGCACCCGGCTTAGTGTCCGCTTAATTGGGGGTGTCCGCGTAATAGAGGTTTCACTGTATTAGGTAAATCAATTGCGTCATCGGCTGGATAGAGATCTAACCACTGGATAGCGTGATCTACCTTTCGAACAACTGGGCCCAGAGTCTTCAGAAAAAAATGGAGGTAATGGAACGCGTTTTCGGACGGGTCTTATAAGTTTTCTTATTTATTCTAAGGACGAATTTCGCGCCCTCGATCAGCTAGATGATCAAACAGATGCATTCAGGTTTTAACCGAAATTTTCTGAAACTGGAAACGAAAATTTTAACAAAATCGGATATGGAACGGCACATTTTCTGCTGAGACCGGTCCAAACGAGACACAGAAAATCCCTTTAAAGTAGATCGTCTTCCTCCGACACCCCGTTCTTTGCTTTAAGCTAGCCTGTTCATGGCGTTCTAAAAGTGAGGAATACTTTTACTGCTATGTTTTTTGCTGTTTTTTACTGCTATCTTAGCGCCTGGAAGCGGCTAGCGCATCGTGGAGCAATATCTGAGGCATTTTCTTTTTGGTAGCGTGAAAATTGAAAAGTGCAATTTCGTCATTTGTAATGTTTTAACACCTCTTAAGAAAGTGGAAAAACTAATGAAGTATGTCAGCACGCTTTTGAGCAAGTGAGAGGATGAGGACATCGTTTGAACGGACATTAGACAGGGAGTAAATACAAGTCATATTGCCTTCCCTGGGGGGCCGGGACATTTAGGTTATTCAGGGGTGGTAATCCAGGTATTACACGATGCTTAGCCAATCAGTGAACTCCTATATATCTATTTGCAAAATACCGGTGTTAAAACTTTGGTCACAGCCACGCAAGGCCTTTGTTTATGTAGAAAGCCGACAGGTTGAACCATAAAATTGAAATGAATGGAGACAAGTTAACATTGTTGATACATTGTTCTATGGGTTAAAACCTTCAAGTGGTGTTAACTCGCGCTATTTTGTGTGGAATTTATCAGTCAAGTGCCTTATTAGCAAAGGGCTGGTAAACCTTTTAAGATGACTAAATGTACTGTTCCCCGCGGGCTCGGTCAAGTGCGAACTACTTGGAGCAAAACAACTGCAAACAGCTGGTGCGATCATAGATCAAGCTGCACCTCTTGACTCTTGACTTATTTACGACCCCACCTGCTAAACTTATTGACAAAGCTAATGAAGCAGAAAATTAGTCGGAGTACCAATTATTTTATAACATGAACAAAACCCTTGGATTTGTGGGTTTTGAACGCGTTTTGTGATAAAGCGTTTTAGGCTATGCGTTTTTTCAACTTTCTGCATTCCAGTTGTTGAAAGTACTTAAGTGATAAAGGCTGAAAAATAAATCTGACGAATAAATCAATATTGGCGAACCTGCGCCCTTAAATACCACTCGCATAACCAGTTTTCCTACATACTAAGTAACAATGCTAGTTTAATGTGTAACGCATCAAAATATTCATACAACTTTCTTCTTATATTCAGCGTTTACAAGGGCAGTCGGTGTTACTGAACTGCGTCAGGCTCCTCGATCTGCGCAGTCGAAGGCGACTTATGCTCTTTCCAACCACAAAGAGAGCATTAATGATTTAGGCCAAACGATCTACACAGTGCTGTTTAATAATGAATAATGCCAGCGCTATATACGAGTGTTGTTGGTTTTTGGCTAACACAGTTCGTCCAGAGACGAGAGAAAGTTGCTGGATAAGCGAGAGAGCGGCGGGCTATCCTATAGAGTAGTGTAGTAGTGTTAGGATAGCCTGTCAATTCAAACTCTTCTCTGTGGTCAAGTTTCTCTCTTTATCCAAAGTAACAGCGGCACTGAGAGCTAACAACGACGGAAGATTTAAACTTTGCGTTTATGCTTTGGTGTCTATGACAGGAAGAAGTCTTTCCTCGTACAGACGCGTCAAGCCAGAGTAAAGCGTCGACTGGCATTTCAATTGTACGAGCTGCTCCCACGCTGACTAAAATATGTCGGGCGAAGCGGAAGGCTTATGGACGGGTGAAATAGAAACGAGTTTTCAAGAAGCTCTTGCCATCTACCCGCCATGCGGAAGACAAAAGATCATGTTATCAACAAAAGATAAGATGTATGGTCGCAACGAACTTATAGCACGTTATATACTCATGAAAACGGGCAAAGTTCGCACTCGAAAACAAGTTGCAAGCCACATTCAAGTTCTGGCTCGAAAAAAGATCCGCCAATTTCAGACCAGAATTAAAGAGAAGACATACATCAATGACGGTCTACAGGAGATGATGACCATGTCCTCTGCTGAGATCTTGTCTCCTGTTGTTCACCACGCTGGAGATAATTACGAAACCTCTGATATTCCCCTGGGCCCACCGCCAGCCCTTTTACAGTGTTATGCATCTACAGGTCTAAGCCAGCACGGACAAGTTATGGGTGAGATCCCGCCGCCGCCGCGTTCACGCACTCCACCGAAGCTCCAGTTTCCCACCCTGGGAGGAGAGCACCAAGGGATGTCAGAGTTTACTCCACCCCGTACGCCTCCTAAAATGGAGCCGGCAAACTTCCACGAAAACGCTTTGCAAAGCAGTTTAACTTGGGAAGTACCGGATATAACCCAAGAACTGAACTACAGAGATCAAGCTGAAGATTTTCCTACGCGGTATGACATCCAGTCCGCCAATGAAAGCGCTTGGCGCACAGCTATCCAGGAAGTAAACTACAGCTCGAGATGTAAAGACGAGCCAGTGATTTCGACGTGCGCTCTTGGCGTTTCGGCTTCTTCCTTGCCCGAGACTCCAACCTTTGACGACTACCTTGTTTACGATGCGGATCAAACATGTCCCTCGATCGATTTCTCGGGCATGTGAAATCTCTACCGGTAATTACAAAGAATGTCTATATACGTATATTTTGCAGTCTACGTAGCAAGTTATGTTTTATTGTTTTCTAGAGTCTTTTATTTTGCTTATTAGCGGACTCTATAATAACTACGACAACCTTAATCGTCGTTGCCCGCCTAGCTATTAGTTCCCTTTGCGTGGGAACCTGTCAAATACAAGTTAAGTTAATTTCCATTCAACTCACGCAACTCGTATTTTTATTTTGCACTTATTTGAGTAAGCTTGTTTTATATTTTACCTAAGCCAACCCAGACAAAAGTAAGAATCAAATTTATTCGGCCTGAGAGAAACACATTTCCTCTTATCAGAAAGTTGTTTGATTTTACGGGTCTGTTTCATTGTCAAATGTGGTAATCAAATCAACCTGACTTCTCACAACCGTTAGACCAAACTACTACACAAAACGCAAATAACATGGATAAATCGTGAAAACTATTCTCTTACTTTTTACTTTCCAGAAGTATATAACTTAAAGTTGAGTCCGTTTTATATACAATTTCTACCATATTTTTGTATCGTTGTAGGCCACCCGTTTTTGCTCTACACGCTTGACATGTCGCGGGTATGTTTAACGGGCTGTCCTTTTCATGTAACTTACTAATTCATTCTTCCAAAACAAACTTACTGTTTACGTTTTTCACCGAACCTTTTGTCTTGTGTGGTTTACTGTTTTCGTTTGTCTCTGTTCACACTTTTCTCAGGGTACCCAGTTTATCCACCCGCTATATTCAAGTATTTTCAGTTTCCTCTTGATTCTTGACTAGAAAGATTTTTTTGTTGAAGTTTTTAGGCCAAATCCATTCAAATGAACTGACTAAACCATAACTTTGTAAAGTTAAGTTAAAGTGCAATTAAATAGTATTTTTGGTAACAAGACTGAACCTGGGAAAGTCGCATTATTTTTTTTCTTCTCCCTCTGAGAATAAGTTCAACATAACAGTAAAGCTTCGTAGAAACGGTTCTTAAAAAAAAATTCTTTCCGGTCAGTTTTGGAGCATGTTCAACTCGAGCCCCAGAAACCACAAATTTTATCAGTAAACGAAGGGTTCCATTCAGTGAAGTTTTACCAAGGTACAAGACTATATCGAGTCAGTTTTTAACAACAAGTAAAATTTGTACGAAAAAATGAGGTTTTGTTGCTCGCACAAGTCGGCAATTAAACAACTCCATGCACAGACTAAAAAAATTAGAAGTAGATTACCAGCGAAACGCTTTTAATGTATAGTAATTTATATTTTTTCGCATTTTTCTTTCTTCCGTTGTCGGTGTGTTTGTGTGTATTTTGCTCTGCTGGTTTTCAACTTGTTAGTTATGTTATTGAAAAGTTTTGCTCGTGTTCCCCTCAACGTACAGATACTTTTCTTTAATTTATTTTCTTCACATGTTGATGAAAAGGGGTATTGTCCATACGACAAAAAAAATACGCGACCTTGAAAATAGACAATGTATTTCCTCATAGATATCCTATTCGCTCCAACGGAGGTCCTCAGTATCCGCTCATGCATTTTTACTCAGTAGCGCATGCGCGCTAGTCACTATCATGCATTGTCCAAGCAAAACTTTTAAAGTGCGAAGTTTATGTCGGAAACTGGTATAAATAAGCCCTTAATCAGGTTTTTTAGAACATCAGTCTGGGGAGCTGAGGTTTCCCTCGCTTTGAACAACTATATAGCATGCCAATTTCGAGAGGGTAGTTAATTACCTTAACTTTTGTGATATTTATGTTTGAAATCACACGAGATTTATGAACAAGCGCCAACGTAATCGCTATTAGAGAATGAAACTCTTGTCTGGGCTTTTAAAAAGATCTCTTACAGACTGGGCCAAGTTCCACGAAGTGCACTCATCAGTTTTCCAATTTAAACGTCAAAAGATAAATTTACCGGGCTGGTTCACGAAGACAAGAACAATCAGTACATAGTAGTTTTTAATTTTAGACATCCCAGCTATTTTATAATTTGATCGCGTATGTCATTAAGCAATACACAACGAGTTCGTGATAGAAAAACAGCTGATAAGAGGAGTTTCCGGAAGCTATTTTCAGCAGACAGTAGCAGTGTTTGTTCTGCTGTAATGTTAATTCTTCTGTATAAAAAAATAACAATAACGCTATCTCACCACTTTTTTAAAATCCGTTTAGCTCGCTTGGCTATCTGGAACGCCGAGAAGGCCCTGGAGCTCTGGTTTGGCCATTTTCGTTTGATTAAACACGTGACCAGTATTTTGCCAGATTCTCTATGTCTTTTCAATATAAAGGATTATTCTATTTTTGTATGTATTGCTGCTTTTAAAATTTTATTTGTCAGCTGCGCGGTAACAAAGAAATAGATTGAAAAGCCGAATAGGAAATTTCGCAAATGTATTAAAGTGTGGCTTCTGCACGTGTATTAATTTAACCAGAGGTTAAGGAAACATTCAGCGTATTTGCATCGCTATCAGTGGTATCAGCAAGTGGTGACGATGAATTAACTCAACTATAATGGGCAGTTTTTAAAACAGTGCCGCCTCCCTCGTCCTCCAAAAACCGTTGTTTACAAGTGGCTTTTTTGGTAGATAATTGGTTTTCTAGCCAAGATAAGCCGAACCTGAATGATGAAATTGGAGTGGACTAATCGGAACTCTTCTCATTTTTAGTTGACTCCGCAACAGAGAACTGTAATGTTACCCGTTAGTTTAAGGGTTCCAGTAAAGCTGTAAAGACTGTACATTATGTAAAATTTTGTATACAGAGAGCTATTTTTGCATTAAGTCAGCGCAGGTACTAAGAAATAAGCAAGTTTTCACCAATTATTACATACGTGACCATACATGTATAACCTTTATTTAAACTCGAATTTTAGTGTAGCTACACTACATAGCTAAAATCTTCGAGGAAAAAAAATTAAGATCTCTAAAACTGGAAAAAAAATACACACACTATAATCATAACTATTATCCTATAACATAACTCACTTTATAAAGTGAGAGGTTATTTTCTTGCTTTTGATGTTTTACACTTAGTTTCATCCGATTTAACAATTCCAGAGTACTTTCTAGCTCTCAGCAACCCTCTAGCCAGTAAATACTCAGTGCCGAGAAAATTGCGATGGCAAAAGATTCCTTTTACTTATTAAAGATAGTCCAAGCAGTTTTTAGTGACTTCGAGTCCTAAACCAGTTACTGCGCGTTTATTGTACTCATTGTCAAGACTGCATCAGTGGAGAAATTAATTAGTATAAGATGGTTCTAAGTTTTAAGATAATTCGCATTCATCTGAAAACCATTGAACAGTACTTTTCGTGGTTTTTCAGCTTTCTCATCCTGCCTAATTTGAGGATAAAATGTTGAAAGCATCTCTTCATAACTTTTATTAAATCTTATTAAGTCTTGTCAAAGGATACACGTAATTGCAATAACTTTGTTGTTGAAAAAAAAAAAAGAAAATCAAAAACACCCTAATTCAAAACTGGAGACGCCAGTTTTGGAGCACGGAAGGCGGTACACTACGAAAGACATAATCTGGTTAAGTTGGCTTATTTACTCCTATTCGTTCTTTATCTTTTTGATTTTCATATTAATAACAACGTTTCTGTAATTGGGTGCAAATATAACTAAGATACCGTTTGCTGCTAACCTTTGCGAAGTTCATCAAACTGATCAGGGAACGAGTTAGAAAAGACGAGACTGGTCTTTTTTTCGCTTTACATTTTAAGTACGCTTTGCTTAAATATTTGTATTAAAAAAAACATTTTACGGCTTGTTTCTTGTTTTAAAAATTCTTAACTTCATTCGTAGCATTATCTACTTCTAACAAGAGAGGGTAAGGGGACTCCTTACTACCGAAAAAGGTGGACCGCGAAGTTCAGAGACACGCGTAAGAGATTTCGCCCTAGACGTTAAAGACCTAGGTCACGTGGCTTTGTTTGTCAAACCAAAAAGGTGAACTCTTTTCGACCTTTTCTGATTGCTGGCTTCGTAATTCGCGCATCAGCGTGGTCAGAGTTTATACTAGGGACTTTAAGATCCAAGGACGCGACGGCGACAAGAACGTCGCTTAAAAAGCGAATTTGCGTTCTTTCAGTCGTTATAGCGATTATTCCTAACCACTTACTTCGTCAAATGTAGGCGAACCCTCCTGGAGCTGAATTTCAAGGAACCATATTCAAGCTCGGAAACTGAGAAATAAAATTTCGTCGTTGTTGTTTACGTCCTCTATGAAACGCGAAATGAGGCATTTTCAGGTCGTAGTCGTGCAAAAACGGGAAAGAAATGTACAAAAAAGTGTGATGCACGTGCGAAGTTGTTGTTTTGCTAACTAAACCAATTGTTTTTTTGACGTTCTCGTTGTCGTCCGCGTTGTTGGATCTTAAATTCCCTACCTGACTGTATGGCGCTAGGAGGCTGTAACCGAAAGAACTTTCATCGACTGACTTTTCGCGGACGAAAATTTCTCCTTTTTGGTTGACAGAGTGCACGATTATTTGACTTAACCTATCTTTGGCCTACCGAACGCTCGGGATGACACCACGTGAGTTCACCTTTTTGGTTTGACAAACAAAGCCACGTGACTTAAGCCTTGAACGTCTGGCGTCAAAATCAACTGTCCAGCGTACCGCTGAGATTCGCGGTGTACCTGTTTCGATAGTAGAGAGATTAAGATTCACGTTTACCGCAAGCGGCAAAAGTCAGACTCAAGCTGAGAATTTCTCAAAATAGAAAATAAACAGATAAAAACAGCCCCGAACGATTCCTATTGTTGAAACTGGCATAAGACTACTTATTTTTGTGTAGAAGCAACAAAGAGTAAACGGAAAGTAAGGGGGAAACTTGGTCACGTGGTTCAGGTTCACGTCTGCCGTTTGGCGTAAACGTGAATCTAAATCTCCCTAGTAATCTCATTTGCCTCGACGGAATTTGTGAATGGCCCCCTGCGCCGCCCCAGATTTGGGGAGTTTATACAGCCCAACTCGTCCATGTGCAACCACCCC